GACAATTTTAACAGTAACCCTCTCTCTTGAGTGGCTCTTGTCCCTTATTTTCGGTGAGATTTAATATAAATAATGCATATAACTTTAACAAAATGACAGTTAACATAGAAACAGTAAGTAAAAGAATACAAATAAAGATATTTTCTTGTTTTTTATTTCTTCATATTCTTTAAAGATGTATTTTTTTAGGAAATGCATGTCAGGTTACTTCAATTTGAACTGAATGCTTCTCTGAAACGGATTAGTACAGATGGGTAAATTCAGAGATGGGCTAAAAATGATAGATTTGAAATTGGCTTTTTCTCCAACACAGAAACGACAGAAGCAGACATGCGGAACTCTAACTGACACATATCATAAGGGCATGCCAAGGCCTCTATTTCATGGCTGGCTTGTAGGAATTTGAAATTAAAGGATTGCAACAAAACAATCAGTTTTAGAACGCTTTTTAGTTGTATATGGAGAGTAGCCACAGTATTTGCAAAGGAATAAAAAACCACAAAAATAATTCATCTCTTAAGAAATCAGAAATAAGTATTATACATGATATACATACTAGCTATATATTGGGTCTATTTGGGCAGCAATCTTTCATTTATACATGTTTGGTTAAAGGATGTTTTCCAACTTATCTATAACAGTGAATTCCTGAACAGATGTGGAATAGACTTCATAAATAATTTAATAGAGCACATTTAATATCATCTACCTGATAATATTTTAGCAAACATCGACCTTTGTGCCTGCAAAAAACAAACTGTCAAAAAGACAGTTTTTCTCTTGACACCGCTATTATTTTAACTACCTTTACTCCTCAGCAATGCTTATTGTTTTTAAAAAGCAATGATTAGAATTTTAATAAAACCTAAATATATGAAAGTGAGTTCATCCATGTTGTTTGTTCTCGAGAATTGACAACAGAAATAATAAATTAGAATTTACCCTGTGGACTAAATAAATGGTTCAGTCTGAAATTCCAACAAACATCATTCTGAAGAAGACCAGACCATACAATGGTTGAAACGTTGTGAATGTGACAGTAAAGATGAGGACAACAGTCTGAACTATGTAAATAGTGTAAATAGTAAATATATTTCATAAATTTAATTTAATAAAAAAAGGCATCGCAACACAAACCATCACATGAAGATGTGATGCTTTAAAAACTTGACAACATCTGTAAAGATACAAAATGTGAAAAATGATGAAACCAATAAAGTAAAAAAAAAAAACCTCTTTGATAATGTTTTATGAAATTCAAAATTACTCAGACTTTCTGCAATTTATATTTTAGCTTTAATTGGAAACCAATAAAATTGTCTCAAATATAGAAAAAAATAAACAAAATATCCTTTAACAAAAATTTTCATTGTTCTTTAAGTAAACTTTATAAAATTAGCCGTGGGCAATACAGCTGAGGAGTCATCAAGTAGTGTTTCTTTTTACAGGCAGACTGGAAGTTATTTAAAGTTCAAACAATGTAAATAGTGTCCATTTTGTTTTCATTTTCTCTTAAACATTGTCATTGTTCCCATGTTCAGTCCACAGTATTCTCAGCATCCTTCTGTAGAACCTCATTTCTGTTGTTTCAAGTCTCTTTTTCATCTGCCATATAGTAGGACCAATATTGCATAATAGTTTAATACTCTTTTATCAGAGTATGTGCTCTGTCCAATCAGGACATAGTCGATCATGGCTCTCCACAACTTCCTGCATTTGTAGCTTTTAATAAGTTTTGTCTTTTTGTTATCTCTCCTAAGCCCTGTTCTGGCATCCACTTACACAAACTCGCTAGGTAAGTTCAAATGTAAATAATGTCCCTTTTCATCTGATTATATTTATGAGATGAGGTATTGTAACTATTGATACTATTTGTCCCTGTCGACTAAAATTGTTTGGTTTGAAATTCTAACACATATCACCTGAAGAAGGCCAAAGTGTACAACAACTGAAACATTATGAATGTGACAGTAAAGATGAGGGCAACAGTCCGAATAATGTAAATAGTAAATATATTTCGCAAATTTAATTAAAAAAAGGCATGTCAACATGAACCGTCACATTAAGATGTGATGCTTTAAAAACTTGACATCATACTTATTATAAAACCCAGGTTGTGTGTGTGTGTGTGTCTGTACATTTATATATTGGATCGGATTTCCTACATTTTTCAACCAATTTCAACAAAACTTCACAGGACTATATAAAATTACCTTGCGGTGGTTCTGACAGCGCCAAAAAAACACAATTATTGTTGCACAAAATCAATTTGAAAACACGATTAAGAGGTATCGTGAGAATGAAAGGGGGACAACTCATATCAAGTTATACTTATAAAACCCAGGTTGTTTGTGTATGTGTGTGTTCATTTATATATGGGATCGGATTTCCTACATTTTTCAACCGATTTCAACAAAACTTCACTTTTTTTTTGGCAGGTAGTGTTTCTTATTGTTTTGCACACTTTTTTCTTTATTTTTACATTCATAATGCTTTAAAAATTCTATTTACAAGACAATTGTTTATAATAAAATTCTATTCAATCGGTAGACTCATAATGATTGAAAACAATGTTTTTGTTTGAGTTTGGGTTTGACCAATTCATAAAAAAAAAAAAACTAATAATACATGCGTGTCCGTCAACCTTAAACAATAATCTTTGTCAATTTTATTTTTCAGTCTTTATGATGGTCGATACATGATCTATCTTTTATTGTTACATCCCCGGGCAATGCCGGGCTCTACTGCTAGTCAACAATAAAGTAAAAAACAAAACCTCTTTGATAATGTTTTATGAATTTCAAAATTACTCAGACATTCTGCAATTTATATTTCAACTTTAATTGGAAATCAAGAAAATTGTCTGAAATATAAATAAAAAAATTCTTTATCAAAGACTTTCATTGTTCTTTAAGCAAACTTTGTAAAATTAGCTCTGGGTGATACAGCTGAGTATTGTGTCCTGTGTCGTCTCTGGGTCCCCACACTAGGCCTGCTCAGTATGTCACACATTGCTTTCCCTTATCTCTCTTTCCCTCTACCCACCCTGTGAGTATCAGATTCTCCTAGCCCTCCTTTCTTATTATATGCCCCAGAAATTTCAGCTGCCCCTTCCTGATGCTAAGTATAAGCTTCCTCCTTGTTTGCATCCTCTCCAAAACCTCATCGTTGCATATGTGTTTGGTCCATGATATACTTAACATCCTTTTGTAGTACCATACCTTCATCTTTAAGGAGACCATCCAACATTCACTACTATAAAGGAGGATGGATATCATATGGCAGTTCAGTACTCTTTTCAGTACTCTCCTGTCTCATAATACTGCATAAAATGGTATCAACGAAAAGGACCATTTCTCTTTGTTATTCATTTTATTAGGAAAGAGTGGCAGCTTGGATTCTAAGATGAAGTGGGAGAAATGATGTCACAGGAATGCATATTACACCTTGGCTTAGCATCACCCCACAGGTGTTCTTAACAGGTCATTAACCTGGGTGTGGGAGGTGTATCAATGCTTCAGAATTCCTGATGAATTCATGCCATTATGGATTTATATCCAAAACCCAGACAAAGGCAATCCATCACTGTCAGAATGCCATGTCCATGAGGCACTCTGACCAATTGCTGACTATTCTGCCTTTGTATTCTGTAACATGAAGATTCAGCAAGTAGTTTTTCTTTTTACCGGCAGAATTATTATCCACTGAAAGGTATTTAAAATGAAAGAGACGGCATACAAGCTCTATAAACAAATTGGAATGACAACAAAATATCACAAAGGCTTTTTATTTGGTCTAAAATGTATACCAAAGATACATGTTTCCTCTTTAAGATTGAGTTCTGGTTCCTTCTAAAGTCTAGGTCAACTTTATACTTCTAACATCTTCACCTAAAGACTGAAATTTTATTTATTTATTTATTTGTCCTCAATAGGAGTATATAGGTTCACTTATAGTCCAGTTCATGCTCCTCTTTGGAATTTTAAACAGGAGTAGAATTTTATCCCTTGTTTCCTGCTTAGGATTGGGTTTCTAGTTCCTTCTAAAGTCACTTCAACTACTTCTAATGTCTCCACCTAAACTCTGAAATTTTATTCACTATTTATTTATTTATGTATTTATAGTCAATAGAAATAGATAGCTTTGCTTATAGTCCAGTTCACACTCCTCCATTGTCTTTTGAATAGAAGTAGAGGTTTATACATTGTTTCCTGTTTAGGGTTGGGTTTCTGTTTCCTTTTAAAGTCTTGTTCAACTCTATACTTTTTATGTTTCTCCCTAACCTTTTAAACTTTTATTTACTATTTATTGATTTATTTTTACTCATTAGGAGTAAATAGGTTTACTTACAGTCCAGTTCACACTCCTTCTTGGTCTTTTGAACAGGAGTAGATGTTTATCCCTTTTTGTTGTTTAGGATTGGGTTTCCAGTACCTTCTAATGTCTAGATCAACTCTATACTTTTATCATCTCTGCCTGAACTTTGAAATTTTATTTAGTATTTATTTATCCTCAATAGGAGTAAATAGGTTCACCTATCGTCCAGTTCACACTCCTCTCTTGTCTTTTGAACAGTAGCAGAAGTTTATCCCTTTTTATTGTTTAGGATTGGGTTTTCTGTTTCTTCTAAAGTCTTCTCATTCTCTTTCACTCCCAGTAGCCCATTGTGTCTTAGTGGAATTATTGTCTTGCATGGGGTGAATTGATTTAAAAAAAAAAGAAGAAAAGAATCAGCTAATATTACCACTACCATTTTAATCAAAATATATCATTTGTCATATTCTCTGTCCGTAAAATTCTTCATTACATTTTGGTTGCTTCCAATCTTCTCTTGATTTGTATTGAAACTGTTAAGTATTCCATGCCATTATTTACGAGATTGGCCATGACATAAAACTTATTCTTAATGTTATTCTTCAAATCCTTAATAGCTGACTCACTTTCTGAAAATATTGCATATTACTGATAGCCAATCCTTTCATACCCATTTTTGGGGTTTACAACCACATCATGTTGAAACACCGATTCGCTTACAATCACTGAAGTTAAGCAATGTCAAGCTTGGTCAGTATCTAGATGGGGGACTGCTTGGGAATACTATGTGTTGTAAGCTTGGATGTGAGGTTGGTGTAATGGATAATGGCTCAAAATTTTTAATCAGAGAGCTGAGTTTCAGTTCCAGATGGGTTTGTTATAATCATTTACGTGTAAATACCCTTGGCAAAGGTATGAATCCATCTCCTTCTCCCCAACATCTATGGGTTAATTAGTAAAACCTGTATTTCTAAAACTGTTATTATCTCCAAGAAACTGAAATTGCATCCAAAATATTTACATTTTGGCATTAAATAACTTGTTATGATTCGGAATGAGGGTGATATTTCATCCTTCTAAAAACAACCTTTCTACCAGTGATGAATGATGATAAGGATATTTCATCATCCTGGAAATAAAGATACAAATTTCTGGCCACTGGTGATGATATACGATGATGATATTTCATCATAAAATCTGAAACTTCATCATTATAAAACGATCCTTCCACCACATGTAAAGTTAGTAGAGTAAAGTATAGTAGCAGTAGTAAAAACAACAATACAGATGTATCTTCTTCGCTCTGTAAAAATCCACAGTTAATGGTCTCAAACACTACCCTTAACAATGAAATTCTTGGAACAAGCAAAAACAAGAAAGAAACAAGAGACAATAACACTGAAAACATTTTGAATATACACAATAACCAATATTTTAATTAACAACACAAAAAAAAATACACATTCTTGTCATTAATGTCAACACATGTTTCAAGGTCTCAAGGTTTGTTGTACGTTTTATTCATTTCATTTTCAGCATAAAAAAGGAGAAAAAGAATCCTCTATCAACTACAAATACATATAATAACGGAGGTAACCTATATTAACACAACGTCAACATCAACCCTGTTGCAAACTCATAGTGTTTGATATGCTGCTAAACGAAAACAACCAACATGCCCATTTCGACTTCAGACTACCAGAGAGGTCAGGGTCACCTGAGAAACACATGACCTTAGCAGCTTCAGTATCTGATGCTTTCTTTTTAGGTTTAGGCAAGAAACATAAAATGGAAATTAAACAAAGATAACAAAACATAGTTAATCGAGTCAAGAGAAAGAAGCAGTTTTTATGGAGTCTTACAGTGACCAGCTCTTATTTAATGAATTAGTAGGCAGTGAATAAGATATAATAGAGAGAGTGGGTTATAAATTCATGGAACCAGGTGGTGGTGGTGGAGAGGTGGGATGGCATCTCATTCTATGATGCCAACAATTGGCCACTAGTACCCAGACAAACCAAGAGAGAAACGGTTTAGTACATCTTTTATGTTTCCAACATGAAACAAGTAATGAAAGGAAAAGAAATAAACTTATAAGTGAAAATGTTTTGTTTTCTTGATGAGTTCGTTTGAGATGATGTTTCCCATTGTCACTACTTGCAAAAATTCAGGGATTTTCTATTTGTTTGTGTTTTTTTCTAATCATTTCACCCCAAGTAAGGCAGTAAAGTCACTAAGACACAAGGGGGTTACTGAGTGTGAAAGAATAAGAAAAAAGAGAAACATTAAGGAGCAAGAACAGAAATGAAGAGGAATCAAAAAGACCGTAGATAACAGTTACACTGGATTTAAAATTTTGAAGATCAAAGTTGGCTGGAAAGCATAAAGATGGGAGAGAGTTCTACAAGTGATAAGTGCAAGAAAAGAAACTGTTAGCATAGAAATTATGGTTGCATCTATCCAATTCATCTGTAAAATGATGAGACCTAGTTGCCAATCTAGTACTGCACTTAAATTCATAAAGTGTAGCAAAGAGCTCATTGGAACAATTAGCATGAAAGTATTTATAGAAAAGGCAGAGAAAAGCTACATTATGGTTGCAAGAAGTGACTAAAGCAGAGATGCCAGGTGAGGACGGATAACACTGCAGATTCTTCTTTGGATTTTATCAAGAATCTCTAAATATATAGCGGAAGCACCAGACCAGATGTGACAGTAATACTCAATGCATGAATGAATTGTAGCCTTATAAATGTGTAAGATAGATTCTGGCAAGAAAAATTGTCTAGCATAACACAGTGAACAAACTTACTTAGCAGCAGACATAGCAATTGATTCAATATAAACTTATCTCTTTCCTAATTTCATGTTAGCAGAAAAGATTACACACACACACATATATATATATATATATATATATATATATATATATATATATATATATATATATATATAAAAAAAATTCTCAGAGTTAACCTGTGAAAAACAATATTTATAAATGTAAATTACCCAAATATTAATCCATGCCCAGGCCTTTTCCCTATTTCACCTTTCTTAACAGAATTACTACTCTCCCAAACAACCGTACAGAACAGTATCAAGAAATCAAAAGGAAATGGTTGAATCTGTCAACACAGCAATAAAAACAATATCTCCACACATGACAGTAATTGATGTAATTTCAGTCAACAGTATGAAAGTAGCTTCTCTAAATTCTTCCAGTTGCTAAGGACATTTCTCTAAATATATAGCAGGAGCACTGAACCAGATTTGGCAGCAATATTCAAAGCCTGAATAAATGGTAAACTTATATATATATATGGAGAAAAAATTGTCTAGCATGTCAAAGTGAACCATCTTTCTTAGCAGCAGATCTAGTAATTGATTCAATATAATCTTTCCACTTCCTGTCAGCAGAGAATGTTAACCCAAGAAGGATTAATGAGTCACCCTCCTGGAGGTTAGTATCAGCCATGCTGATAGAAGTTACAAAGGGGTTTTGGTGGTGTTAAATTTAACAAGTCATTCCTTGCCTTAATTAACAGCAGATTGTAGGTCATTTTTGAGATTAGCTGCCAATTTGATCTTATAATACCAATCAGACTTACTATTGAGATAGGTGCAAGTAGTTGTTTAATCAGCATAGATACCAAGTTGAGAACTGATGCTATCAGGAAGGTTTTTAATGAAAATTAGAAATGAAATACATCCAGGTATAGAGCCCTGAGGGACACCTGCATTAATAAAAAAGATCTAGAAGAGTGGCCATTAAGGACAACATTCATTTCACAATTTGATAAAACTAAATCAGTTCCAAAATTTGTCTAGAAATACCATCACCTTTCAACTTGTGAAGAAGACCGCTATGCCAAACCCTGTCGAATGCTTTCAAGATATCCAAAGCAACAGCTTGAGTTTTACCATTCTTATCTAAAGCTTGATAAAGTGTTTCAGGAATAAGCATTAATATATCAGCAGTTGATCTCAACAAGTGAAAGCCATATTACTTGTATGACAGTAAATCCTTCAAGGTGAGATGCTTAACCAATTCCGAGTTAATTAGCACCTATAGTATTTTGCCAAAAAGTGATAGAAGCTTAATAGGGTGGTAGTTAGAAGGATCACTGGGTTCACCTGAGTTCTTAAAGACTGGAATTACTGAAGAGATGGATTTTCTAGCACACTCTTCATAGATATCTGTGCCTAATGACTAAATTAAAAAAAAAACTGCCAAAAATGTATATTTCCAACTGTGTTTCATACACAGAATGTTAAACCAACTTTCACATTTCAAAGAAAAATGATCCTATATGAATGAGTAAGTCAGTGGGAGTCTTTGAATTGAATAAGTTTTCAGCAGATTGAAAAGATTTAAAAAAAAAAGAATTTCAAATGAAAACTTGCAACATACATGTGTCAGCTGAAAAGTTGATAGGCTGACCAAGATACTCTCGTGGAATGTGACCAAACGAGGTTTATTTTTCATCATATTCCACCCTGCAGTTCGTACAATACTTCCATCAATGTTGCTGTGCTTGGGTTCCATTGGTAAAAAAAGCTTTCATCCTTAGTCAAAAAAGTCATCATCAGCAATTCTGATTTCCAGCCAGCTGTTTTTTTTCATGTTGGGGAACAAATGATAGTCACATTGGATAAAATCAGGAGAATAGGGAGTGTGAAAGCCACAATGATGTACAGCAGCCACTGAAAACAAGGACGAGTGTGCTAGAGAAAGGTTTCTCAACTTGGGCCATATGTCCCCCTTGAAAGCCATGAGATATTTTCAGGGCCACAAGCCCAAGTTTGAAAAATGGGGAACCACGATGAGGTACATAAAATTTAGGACCCACAAAATATATATATATGGGGTATTTTGTAATTAATAAGTGTTATTTAAAATCAAATATTAAATTTATTATTAAATCAAATATTAAATAAATCTAAGCCATTTTGTTAACATAAATATTTATTGTAATTTTTTCATCTGATCTATGCAAAATTGCCATTTTTAATTTTCAATTTCCTGCAACTCTTCTGGATGGTCTCCTTGTTTGAGTCCGTGAATGCTGCCATAATCTTTTCCTTCAGTTCATCTTTGGTTTTACAAAGAGTTTTGTTGGTCTCTCACTCTACTGTGCCCCACAAATGATAATCAAGGGGGTTGCAGTCTAGGGAGTTCGGTGGCCAGATGTAAGGGGTGATGCGGTCATAGAAATTGTCTAACAGCCATCACTGGGTTCTCCTGCTTGTGTAGCATAGTGCAGAGTCCTTTTGTCAGACATAGGGTCTTCCAACAACCGCCCTTTTGACGCAGGACAGCACTACCTCCCCAAGGCACATGATATAGGCCTCCATGTTGAGTCTGAGGCCCTCATCAACAAATTTGAGAGTTCTTTTCTTATTAGAACAATCAGAGTGAGTTTTCCAAGTTGCTGTACCTTTGTAATTACAATTAGTCTCATCCAACTCTTTCCACATTCTCTGCACTGTCCTCAGATTGACACCTAAACACACTGAAATGTTCATATTGGAGCTTCTAGTGCAAATGCCAAGCAGTACAGTATGCCGTTTCTAAATTTTTGGCAGAGTGAATTGTGTCATGGTGCTCTTTTTCCCACAGATGATGCCCAACTGACCCTACTATACTGTGCAGTCAACAAAATCAAAAAGAAACAATGCACATATAAAAATATAAAATGGTGACAATTTACCCTGTATGAGGTACATTCAAAAAGTATTCAATTTTATTTTTCTCACCAAAACTAATGCTGTGTCGGCAAAATATTTTGGGTTAGGG